TATTTTTATTAGAAAATTATTTTTTTAATATAAATTTTGAAACTTCAATGACTTTTTTAGGAAAAAAATTGTACTTTTACTTGAAAACATTGAGATGAATTTTGACCTTTTGACCCATATTTTGTTTGCAATTTAGCCCCCTTTCGTCAATTGCTATATTCCTCACTTACAGTTAACCATGCTTCGTGTAGAGTTTCAGACTGTTAATTATAGACCTAAATGATGCAAATTTTAATTTATTTTCATTTTATAATTTAAATGTTTTCATTATAATAGGAGTAGAATATAAAATAAAATACATTTTTAATTGTTATTTTCCAGAAGAAATCAACATAAAAATTCGGAAAACGCTTGACATGCAAGGAATGTTTCAAGGCTTTTTTTAATTTCTCTTAAATTGCACAAGGAGAGGTAATTTCAACCTGAGGGCGTTTATAATATCAACATATATTCTTTTCGATCCTAAATCTATATATATAGGATCTCATTTGTCTTTCAAAACTCCTGCTTAATTGCCCTATTGAGGTAATTAAGTTTAATTGAACTAGTATTGTCCATGATTTTACAATTTTTACACTTTATGTAATTCATGCCTCACTCGCCCCTGGCTTTTATGTCCGCTAATATTGCCATCACGGTCGTTGTCTTTATCAACCCATATATGTATATATGTGCGTATTTATTTTTGCTCGTGAAGATAGATCCTCTTAAATCATGCTTAGGAAGAAAGTGGGCGCCACTTATAGTGATTTGGTTGTATTTGAGATGCATATCTTGTAATCCTTTGAGGTTTTCGGATGAATAGTAGAGAAAAATTTACTCTTCAATTTACCTTTTTTTTAGAATTTGAAATTTAATAATTTGCTTTGTTTTACGCATTTCCATCCATTCGCACACTCAATTTTAAGTATTTCCTCGTAGATTTCTTCCTCTCTCTCTCTCTCTCTCTCTCTCTCTCATTATAATCAATTTAAATTCATTTATACAATAAATATGTGGGATAATTACAACAAGATCCCACCTAAAGGAATTAAATATTAAAAATGTCCCTTAAAATCATCAAATTACTCTCAGGTCTCAAGAGATTTCATTACAATAAATTTTATTTGTTTAATTATCAAATTGTCCTTTTTTCTAAGTCTGTATTGACAATTGAAAGAGCAGTCATTGATAACTCAAAGTGTAAGGAGTAACAACTATCGCGGCAGGTATTAACAACACATGTATTACATTTTGTGATGTGTTGAGAAAATATATTGTTAATACCTGTCGCGATAGTTGTTAATCCTTACACCTTTAATTGTTAACGACTACTTTTTGAGTTGTCAATACAAACTTAAAAAAGAAAATAATTTAGTAATTAAATAAGTAAAATTTATTGTAATAAAATCTCTTGGGGATTTGAGAGTAATTTAATGATTTTTAAAGATTTTTTTCTATTTAATTCTCTTAAATGGGACTGTATTACAATTTTCTCTAAATAAGTCAACCTCGAGTCCGAGACCCCATCAAAACATGATGAGCAGTGCTAGGATAGCTCGCAGTTGATTCCTTCTAAACCAAGTAATTAAGTTGTTGCTCAGCACAAAAAAAAAAGAAGGGCAATTAAAGTTATTGCTCAGCTCAAATAAGAAAAAAGTAATTAAAGTTATTGCATTACAGGACAATTTTTAACAAACTTTAGCAAGATAGATATATTTTTTTTTTTTTGGTTAATTCTTCACTTGATGGAATTAAGTCATACGCTACAAAGGATTAAACTAGTAATTTTTTTTTGTAATTATACTATTAATATATGTGTTCTTTTTTATTTCATATAGATTTATAATTAAATATTATTAAATGTTAATATTTTAAAAATAAAATATATGATCATATGTGATTAGAGAATCTAACATAATAAACATAAATGATGTAAGTACTCGTATTAATATTTTTTTTGCTGACCCAATAATTAACGTGCTTTTTTTTAATAAAAAAAACTGTATAAAACTGAGGTTACTTATCCTTGAAATTGATTTCGTTTTTGTGTCGAAGCTATTCCTAGACATTGGGTGCCACATCAGCTAAAAAAATTGACTTGGACCAAAAACAATAACGTGTTTGTGACCACACGTGAAACTTTCCCACATTCGAAGCCACTAAAATATGCAGACGCCAGCGAACTTTGGGCGGACATCTGAGTGTGTTGTCTTCACTCTTCATTCTACTTTTCGAAGCCAGTTCCTTCAGAATTAATTATTTTCCTTAATTTTATCTTTTTAATTTTAGAGGTCGAATTTACATTTTTACCCCCATAAGCGAAACATGTATAATTTATTTAATTTCAAGCAACTATATGCCTAGGGACATCTGGCCAAAAAATACATGCCTAGGGATGAGCCCAAGTTTTCAAAACTTATTACTCCTCTAATACTTAATATAGGACCCAATTGTTGAGTTAATTTTGGTCTTAAATATAAGACCTATTTTTCATATTTATTAATTTTTTCTAAATTACCTTTATGGATACTTCCTCAATCATAATTAAGTAGAAGTGGAAGAGGAGGTATTAAGAAAGATGATTATGGTATTTTAGGAAAAACGTGTCACATTTTTTATAATTAACTAACTTACTTAACTTTCTTAATCTAATCAAATTAGTTAAATGTGTCTTATATTAAGGACCGGAGGAGTATTATTGGAAAGTAAATGGACATTTTTATTTTTCAACTATTTCCAGAAAAACACTTGTCCTCGATGTACAAACTGGTTAGAGGTTTAGATTTGATTCTAAATATAATACATCAATTTATTTTGATTTCTAAATTTAAAATTCATTTTTTAAAATATTCTTGTTGATTGCATATATTAAAAGAGTTTCTATTAAGGGAAATAATGATTAAAATAATATTTTTAAAAAATCAACTCATATTTATTACAAATAACTAATATGATTAATTTTATTAATTTATCCAAATTATAAGAACTGTAGGAAGTATTTTAAAGTCATAAGCAAAGCAGTGTCACTCTTAAAATTATGAAAAATATTGTAATACTACCCGTCCTTAATATAAGAACTAGTTTAACTTTTAATTTGTTCTTAAATAATAGATCGCAATCAATTTTATATCTCATATTTATTAATTTTTTTCAAAGTAGTCCTTATAATAGTTACGCATATTAAATGTAATAGTGGGCATCACTTAGTGATTTGGTTGTATTTGAGATGCATATCTTGTAATCCTTTAGTTACTTCTCTAATTCTTATATTTAGAATCAAATGAATAGTGAGAAAAATTTACTCTTCAATTTACCTTTTTTAAAGAATTTGGAATTTAATAATTTGCTTTGTTCTCTGCACTTCTGAGTATTTCTCATAGATTTATTCCTCTCTTTTTTTAAAAAAATTATAATCAATTTAAATTCATTTATACAATAAATATGTGGGATAATTGCAATAAGGTCCCACCTAAAAGAATTAAATATAAAAAATCCTTCAAAATCATCAAATTACTCTCAAGTCCTAAGAGACCTCATTACAATAAATATTATTTGTTTAATTATCAAATTGTCCTTTTCCCCTAAGTTTGCATTGACAACCAAAAGAGCAGTTGTTGACAACTTAAGGTGTAAGGATTAACAACTATTACGGCAGGTATTAATAACATATACATTACGCTGAAAAAATATATTGTCAATACCTGCCGCGATAGTTGTTAATCCTTACACTAAGTTGTCAACAGTTGCTGTCAATACAAACTTAAAAAAAAGACAATTTGATAATTAAACAAATCAAATTTATTGTAATAAGATCTCTTGAGGACTTGAGAGTAATTTAGTGATTTTAAAAAACTTTTTTGTATTTAATTCTCCTATATAAGATTGTATTGTAATTTTCTCTAAATAAGTCAACCTCTGAGTACAAGACTCCATCAAAACATGATGAGCAGTACTAGGGATAGCTCGTGGTTGATTCCTTCTAAACCAAGTAATTAATGTTATTGCTCAGCTAAAAAAAAAAAAGTAATTAAAGTTATCGCATTACATGACAATTTTTAACAAACTTTAGCAAGGTAGAAATAATAATATTTTTTAAATCAATTCTTCACTTGATGGAATTAACTCATACGCTACAAAGGATTAAACTAGTAATTTTTTTTTTGTAATTACACTATCAATATATGTGTTCTTTTTTATTTCATATAAATTTATAATTAAATACTATTAAATGTTAATATTTTAAAAATAAAACATATGATCGTGTGTGATTAGAGAACCTAACATAATAAACATAATGATGTAACTCATGTAAGTATTAATTTTTTTTGTTGACCCAATAATTAACGTGCTTTTAAAAAAAAAAAACTGTATAAAACTAAGGTTACTTATCCTTGAAATGGATTTTGTTTTTGTGTCGAAGCCATCCTAGACATTGGGTGCCACATCAGCTAAAAAGGTTGACTTGACCAAAAACAATAACGTGTTTGTGACTACACGTGAAACTTTCCCACATTTGAAGCCACTAAAATATTCAGACGCCAGCGAATTTTTGGCGGACATCTGAGTGTGTTGTCTTCATTCTACTTTTCGAAGCCCGTTCCTTCAGAATTAATTATTTTCCTTAATTTTATCTTTTTAATTTTAGAGCTCGAATTTACATTTTTGCCCCCATAAGTGGAACATGCATAATTTATTTAATTTCAAGCAAGGGGGTGTTTGGCAGGGGTTCAATTCAGCTCACGGTTTCCAGATAAGGGAATAATTTATTGGCTTCAATTATTGGCTCTCCCCAACAAAGGCTCAACGGTCAGCTCCACGGTGAAGGGAACAAGCACGCGGGGTTCATTCAGCTCACGGTCAAGACCCATTCTTCGGCCTCTTCTCTCCCATTCCGTCGCCCCTTCTCCCACTGCTCTGAAGATTTCCCTTCTCCTGTGCCGTCGCCTTTTGTCCCATTCGTGCTGTGCCGTCGCCTCTTCATCCCATCGATGAGATCGTGAACCGCTGAGGAATTTCAGTGCCGACGAGGTGTTTCTCGGCCTCCGAGAAGAAGATCGCGTATTGGGTTGCCTGATCCAAGCCTTCCATTTCCGGTATCGTCGCTGGTCAGTTCATCTGAAGTCAGTTCATTCTTCCACCGTCGCCCCTTCCGAAGCTCTGGTCGCCGTGTCTTCTTCCGTCGGTCAGATCCAACTCCTTCCGGTAAGCTGTCTTCTTCCGTCGGTCATTGTGGCTGGAGATCTGGTGCATTAGAAATTCTGTGAAGCGTCATTTTTTCCCCGAAACAGAGGTTCTGTCAGTGTCGTTTTTTTCTTCCGAATCAGATGTTGGTTTCACCGGTTGCCTATGCTATGTTCACTTGTAGAGGCTGATTTTGTTTGATGGTAATCATGTGTGTGTGTATACGATGGGAAAGATCTCGGTTGTGACTGGTTGTGCTTCGTGTGTGTGTATGAGAGACAGAGCATTTGGTGGGTGTTGATCAAATTTTCCGTTTGGTCGATTTTATTTCGGAGACAGGACGGTCGAATTTTTTTCTTTTGTGCTTGATGGTTGCTTTTGCAGTGTTATATGTATGGGATTTTGATCGTTGGTTGTAGCCAAATTGGGTCAGTTAACCGAAATGAATTCTCCTGGATGCTGGGAAAAAAATAATTATTAATGTGTATGTATACCGTTGGATTATAGAACACGCCGCTATACTTGTTAAATACTATCCTGTTATATCATATCTCCTGGACTGAATGGTATGCTTTTTGGGTTAAATTTGTGATAACTGAACTGTTGTAATTGGTTTATAGCATAATGAATAAAAAAAATGGCAAAGCTTCATGGGATATAAGAGCCACAAAGGTCTTTATTGACCTGTGTATTGAAGAAGTTGAAAAGGGGGGAAGAAGAGGAACTAGCTTGACAAAGCCTGCTTGGACAAGTATTGAGGAGAACTTTACTGCAAAGACTGGGAGAGTTTATACGAGAATCCAATTAAAGAACAAATATGATACCTTGCGAAAGGAGTGGCAGTTATGGGATAGGCTGCTCCGTGAGACAGGTTTAGGGTGGGATGCCGAAAGGAATACTGTTAGTGCCCCTGATGATTGGTGGGAGAAGAAAATAGTGGTAATCATTTAATTTTATTTGAGCTTGTATTTTCTCCCATGTTAACGTTTTTTGTATAATGTATAATATTTTTGGTGTTGAATGCGCAGGAAGTTCCAGGCTATGAGAAATTTAGAGAAAGAGGGCTTCAATTTCGGGCTGAATTGACTCAACTCTTTGGGTCTGTAGCTGCGACTGGACCACAGTCATGGGCACCTTCTTCCATGACACTTCCAAGCGAAGGAGTTCCTGAAAATGATATGGAAGAAGGATCTGGAGATAGTGATGAAATTTTAGGGGCACCAACTGGCATAAGCGGGGAGTTTAATTCAGTCACATTCAATGACAATAGTGGAGGAAGTAGAGGCAACACTGGAATGAGACAGGAAACCATTCGTGGGGGTAGAAGCACAGGTGGCAGTCGACCTAGTAGCTCATTAGGAGTTAGAAAAAAAGGGTGAATCCATGAAGAAGAAATCTACTACCACTATGAAAATAGCGGATGCACTAAGCAGGATAGCTCAGGCAAATGAAAATGATTCTCAGCGTGAACATGAAGAGATTTCAGAAGCACGTGCTAGGAAGCTAGAAGAAGAAGCACGTGCTTATGAGACGTCAATTGCGGGAGTCATGGAGCACCTTAATGAAGTTGATGAAATTGTTGATGATCCTGATCTGTTTGGCCGGTGCACAACACTTCTTATGGATAAGCCAGCTGCAAGGGAGATGTATGTGGCTCTGAAGAACAAGAGGGAAAAACTACTGATCTTCTTGAAGCATGCAACTAAGGATTGAGACTTCATTTATGTTGCTTAGAAGATGACTGTGATAATTTGTATCTATTTTTATGTGACTTAGAAGATGACTATGATCATTTGTATCTATTTTTATGTATTATGTGACTACTTAATTTCTGTAGGAATTAAACAACTTATTTTCTTGTTAAATGTTAAGTAATTTCTTATCAGGGTTTCTGAATTTTATGTCTATGTGCACAGGACAAGACAAAAAATGGCTGATGAAATTAAAATTGCGGAAAAGTATCGTAAACGACGGAACAAACGGGTTAATCAAGTTGCAGTAGCGGTTGGTGGATATGCTTCTCTTCATTTGTGTAAAGAGCCCCAGCATACAAGTATTTATACAGGCAAGGTATGGGTAAGGGACGTTTTACAAGGCCATTCCAATCGTTGTTATAACATGTTTAGGATGGAAAGGGAAGTGTTCTTTAGTCTTTGCACAGAATTGCAACAACACGGTCTAAGAGAAACTAGAAATGTTGGGATACATGAAATGGTTGCAATGTTTTTAAATACCGTTGGCCATGCGCTTAGTAGTAGGATGCAGCAAGAAAGATTTCAGCATTCAGGGGAGACAATTAGTAGACATTTTCATAATGTCTTACTGGCTTGCTGTAGACTTGCTATTACCAACATCAAACCAAAAGATCCAACGTTTCAGCATTTGCATACAAAAATACGGCCCGGTGGTCGATACTGGCCCTTTTTCAAACATGCTATTGGAGCAATTGATGGAACACATATTTCATGCATTGTTGATGCAACTGAGCAAACAAAATTTATTAACCGGAAAGGAAGAGTGACGCAAAATGTAATGGCGGTTTGCGATTGGGACATGTGCTTCACTTTTGTATTAGCCGGATGGGAAGGTAGTGCGCATGATGCTCGTATATTTGACCACGCCCTCACAACTCCTTCCATGAACTTTCCCCATCCGCCTCAAGGTATATTTTAAATTCCTACAATTTATTTATGCTTCACTGTTAGAAAACAAATTTTATTGACACCAATCATATATTTCATGTAGGCAAATATTATTTGGTGGATGCTGGCTATCCGACACCCATGGGATACCTTGGTCCCTACAGACGTGAACGCTACCATCTTCCTGATTTTCGAAGGTCATCTGCACTTGAAAATGATAATGAGGCGTTCAATTATTTGCACTCAAGTCTACGGAGCACTATCGAAAGACCTTTTGGAGTTTGGAAGAGTAAGTTTGCAATTTTAGGAAACATGCCGAGCTATGACTTTTCAACACAAGTTCAAATTGTTTGTGCAACGATGGCCATACATAATTTCATTAGATCAACATCCATTTCTGATCCTGGTTTCATTGAGTTTGAACAAGAAGGTTCTTATGTAAAAGAAAATGATGATGATGGAGTTGGATCTTCACATATACCTTCATCAGTAGATTCTTCATCTCACATGGCTCGGCTTCGTGACTCTATAAGAGATCAAATTGTTCACTACATACAAGAATAGTTATGTTCTTTTTATTTTCTTTTTTCTTTTCAGATAATGTAATGTGTTGTTAAAAAAACCTACTTGAACAAATATATTTCGTTGCAACCTCTATTATTAAGACAATTAATATGAATTTTTTTTGTGTGGTTATTTAATTTTGTGAAATAATAATATTTTCTTTAGCAAAATAAATCATTTTCCTAAAAACATATTTATTTATTTTATTAATATATACACACACTAATTTCTTATTATTTATATTATTTATGCCATATTTATTATGTTGCCAAAATATATATTATTAATAAATTTATTACTTCAAATAAACATATATTATGAAATATATCTTATATGTAATTATCATTTAAACTTATGTCCTTTTTAGTAATTTCTACATATCAAAAAACACTTCTGACAATAATTATCTAAATACTCTCACTTTATCAGAATCACTTTTCCAGAAAATCTATTCTTTCAAAATCTATTCTCTCCAGAATCTATTCTGTTTGGCTTTCTCCCCAAACCATGGTTTGGGGAGAAATTAGCCAAACACCCCATTTTAATTTGAAACCATGGTTTTGGGGGAAACCATGGTTTTGGCCCCCAAAACCTTGGTTTAGAAAAAAGCTATCCGGAGCTAGCTTCTTCCTTCATATTATTGATAGCTAGAGGTGGGCCCAGGTACAAGAGCAGGCGTCAGGTATTATTCTTTCACCCTCGGTTTCTCTCTGAAGAAAACGGAGCTTCGGTCCTTCACTCTCGGCGTTTCGCTCTGAAGAAAACTTCACTCGTCGGTACTTCGCTCGTCGGTCCTTCGCTCGCCGGTCCTTCATGGTAAGGATGAAGAAGCTGTGGGGGAGCGAGTGGGCGGAGTATAAGCCGGAGAGATGGTTAGAGAGAGAGGGAAGTGGTGAAGATTCAGACAAGTGGAGGAACGTGGCGAGAGATCCGTTTAGCTATCCAGTGTTTCAGGCGGGACCAAGGATTTGCCTAGGGAAGGAGATGGCGTACTTGCAAATGAAGAGGGTGGTAGGTGTGATTCTGACGAGGTTCACGGTGGTTCCAGCGATGCTGGAAGGGATGGAACCACAATTCTTTGGCCTAAAACTGTCTTTCAAGTTTGCAATAAAAAATTATACTCTTTACTTGATTATACATGGTGTTTTTTTTTTAATCGTGAGAATTAGTCAATCATGTAAATAAAAAATATTGTGTTAATTTTTGTAATGTGTTGTTAAAAAAAACTATTTGGACAGATATATTTCGTTGCAACCTCTATTATTAAGACAATTAATATGAAATTTTTTTGTGTGGTTATTTAATTTTGTGAAAAAAAATTATGGGATTTCATCTTTAAGAAATAATAAATTTTTTTGGCAAAATAAATCATTTTCCTAAAAACATATTTAATTATATTATTAATATATATACACATTAATTTTTTATTATTTATATTATTTATGTCTTATTTATTATGTTGCCAAAATATATATTATTAACAAATTTATTACTTCAAATAAACATATATTATGAAATATATCTTACATGTAATTATCATTTAAACTTATATCCTTTTTAGTAATTTCTACATATCAAAAAGCACTTCTGACAATAATTATCCAAACACTCTCACTTTATCAGAATCACTTTTTCAGAAAAGTTATTCTTTCAAAATCTATTCTTTCCAAAATCTATTCTCCAGAAGCTATTCTCTAAACCATGGTTTTGCCTTATCCAAACACCCCCTATTCTCTAGAAGCTATTCTGCAAACCATGGTTTTGCTTCATCCAAACACCCCCCAAGTATATATGGCTAGGGATGACCGGCCAAAACACATATGCCTAGGCAGGAGCCCAAGTTTTCATAACTTATTAAAAGTAAATGGGAATTTTTATTTTTCAGCTATTTTCAGAAAACCATTTGTTCTTAATGTAAAAGCTAATTAAGAGTTTATGTTTGATTCTAAATATAAGACATCAATTTATTTTGATTTTCAAATTTAAAATTTATTTTTTAAAATACTCTTGTTAATTACATATATTGAAGGAGCTTCTATTAAGGGATAATAATGATTAAAATAATATTTTGAAAAAATCAACTCATATTTATTATAAATAACTAACACAATTAATTTATTAATTTACCCAAGTTATAAGAATTGGAGGAAGTATTTTGAAGTCATAAGCAAAGCAATGTCACTCTTAAAATTATGAAAACTATTGTAATACTACTAATCCTTAATATAAGAGCTAGTTTGACTTTTAATTTAGTCTTAAATAATATATCACAATCAATTTTATCTCTCATATTTATTAAGTTTTTTCAAAATAATCCTTATAATAGGTACACGTGTTAAATATTTCATCACATGATAGTTCTAACTAATATATATGATTAGTATGAGTATTTTAGAAAAAAATAATACGAGTATTTATTTATTACAAACAACTAACATAACTAACTTTTTAAACTACTCAAATTAGTTAACTATCTTTTACATGAAGGATCGGATATAGTATTATTAATGTTGGTTAAACAAAAGACATAACTGTTGACAAAAAATGAAAAAAGGTCAAGAGAATGAATTTTGTAGATAAGAAAATGAAGTTGTGCTTACTATACTGAGTACCTTTCAGCAGATAGCTGGATGACAAAAATATTTTTTAATTTATTATATCACCATATAATGTGTTTTTTAGAAATTTATTGATGTTTCACAAAAACACTAATTTTACCAAAGTGATATGGAAATAAAAGTTGCAAAAGGTACATTCCCAATAAGTGTTCAAATTGTTTTTTAACCTGAGGAAATGAGCGATGAGAATTGGTAAAATTTTATTCCCAATAAGTGACGCTTATACTAAAATTTGCAAACTTCAAATTTAAGTTTACAAAACAAAGAGCCTGCTTAGCGCTTCTCATTAAGCTTGGAAGCTTAAATACCTCTTAGTTGGCACAATTTCTTGTTGAACAAATAGGCCTCTGCCCCAAACTAGAGTTTCAGAGATCATATGCTTGGATGGAAAAAAAATTATTCAAAAAACAATACTGAGGGGAAAAATTTTCAAAAATAGTAAACTTTTCTTAAAACTATTTTTAGAAGTTTTCCTTTCTAATATTGCCTCCTCTTATTTTTCTTCCACTTTTCCCTTTTTCAAGTATAGCCCAGAAGTAAACACAATTGTTGCTT